TCGTCGTCCGCTGACATGGTCGCCGTCGTCGTCTGCTGATGTGGTCGTCGTCATCGTCCGCTGGCGTGGTTGTCGTTGTCATCTGCTGACGACGTCATCGTCGTCTGTTGATGTGGGCGTCGTCATCCTCCGCTGATGTGCTCGTCGTCTGTTGACGTGGGTGTCGTCGTCTGCTGATGTGGTTGTCGTGCGTTGACGTGGTGGCGGTCCGTTGATGTGGTATGGCAGGTCGTCCATGGGCATGGTCGTGGTGGTCGTGTGTTGGCGTGCTGTCCATCCCTCGTCGTGGGTGTGGTGTTAGTGAGCTGGGTTCGGACGAGTTTGGGGGGGGTGCTCACCTAGGACGACGAACGACGAAATCGTCGTTCATCGTCTGGTTGCCACGTTGCTGATAGCGACGTGGCAACGTGTTGCTGCACTCGTTTACTGGGGTTGTTGATGTGGCGTCAAGGCGTCGTCTCCCATATCGTGGCTGTCGTCGTTGTCTCATCGTGGCTGGTGTGCGTGGTGGTGGACGTTGGCGACGTGGTGTGTAGGCATCGGTGATGGTGGTGGTTGAAAGAGATGGTGTTGTTTGTTGATTTGGGCATCAGGAATTCCGTTCCGGCCTCGTTCTGGGTGATCACCAGAATCATTCCAGCGGAATTTGAATTCCATTCAAAATTCGGCAGAATTGTTTGATCACTTTGGCAGGGCCCTCTGCCAAATTTGATTCCTCTGGAATTCCAGGAATTCCCCGGATTCCGCAGGATTCCGGCAGGAATCAGTGGAGGACAATAAAGACCTCGGCTGGCAAAACTATTGCAGAGGCACAAGCGACACATGACGCCAAACGTGGCAAGAAATCTAAAGAGAAAATGTCTAAGCCTGCCAGGAGCATCATCCAGTCTGGCTAGTGCTTGGAAGTTAGGTTAATTAACTGGAAAATAACCGAGACCAGACCGGACCTAACCGCAAAAAAACCGGACCACGGTTAGTGGTTAGTCAATTCTGGAAATGAAATAACCGGTTATTTTGCGGTTAACTAACCGTTAAAAAACCGGTTATGACCGGTTACAACCGACCCTATTATACCCCTTCAAAACGCATCTAAAAGCATGAGAAACGCTAAAAATCTGACAGAGTTATGGTCAAATCTCTAAATTATTGGCTAAAATAGTAGGCTTTCAAGAATATTATTATAAAATTGTCAATTCTTCGCCGAATTTAGCGTTCTTGGGCTTGTTTTAAAGCTACGACGCATGGCTATAATGTTTACTGCAAGGAATATGAGAAATATACGCCGTTTTAATCGATTTTCTATTTTTTCGGTCCTAACCGGTTAGTAACTGCAACTAACCGGTTTTCATCGGTTATCTTCGGTCCAGTTAGGTTATTTTGGGTCTGGGAACGAACCCTAACCGGTCTCGGTCTCGGTTAGAGCCCCTGGGCACCCAATAACCTAACCTAACCGGACTTTCAAACACTAAGTCTGGCAACCAGGCTTACATCATCGATGCTGACAGCAAAGCTCATGAGATGATCAGTTCATCATCATCTTCTGCCACTCCATCCACTGTCACCGATACCGCTCATTTCCTTCAAACGGATGACATCAATTCCATTGATCCACTTGTCCTCAACTTGATGTGTGAGGCCGACATAGCAGAATACGCGCATATAGCTGAAATTTCTTGGCTTGCCACACAAGATACCCTCCAGACTTCCATTGACTGGCATGAGAGGAGGAGAAATATTGAAGATTTAGGTCTCGCAGCAGTCACGGCTGCACCTCTTCCTGCTCCCTCTCATTGTATGGCCCTCTCTTTGGACACATCGCCGTTCTTACTTGATAGCGCATGCACCACCCATATTTCACTCGATCGTTCTGACTTCATGATGCTACACCCAATTACCGATAGGACTGTCACCAGGGTTGGCCGCTCCTCAATCAACGCTCTTGGTATCAGCATGATCAAATTAATCATTGCAAAAGGGTCCCACATTTTACTCGAAAATGTTCTCTTCATTCCTGCCTCTACAGTTCGTCTCATTTCAATTGGATGCATCACTGAATCACTTCAATGTTCTGTCACTTTTGACATCACCACTGTTACTATCAAAAATTGTTCTGGTTCCCTCTTCACTACTGGTACTCAACTCCCAACACATAAACTCTACAGCCTCAATTGCACTCTATTATCAACTGAACATGCATTTGTAACAGCTGATCTCGACACCTGGCATCGTCATATGGGGCACACGTTGAACCAATCAATCCTCGACTTAGCTACCAAGCAACTTGCTCAAGGTATGCTCATCAACCTATCTCGATCCCCTCCCAAATGTGACAGTTGTATCCGTGGTAAACAGGGTCATACCCCAGTACCAAAGACTCGTCAGGGGGAGAGATTGAATAGGAAGTTGGGGATTATTTACATGGACCTTACTGGTCCTGAAGCTGTAAAATCAGCAAGCGGGAACCAATACGTGATGAATATTAGTGTTTAAAGGTTCAGTTCAGTCTGGTTTTTTGCCCTGAAAACACGCAACCGTGGACTGCAACCGGTCCAGGACTGACCCAGATATTGAGGGAACCGAACCGAACCACCTAGGACCGGTCTTTTGCGGTCCATGATACCGATTTTTTGCGTATAATTTATTATACCAATATAAACCATTTGTATCTCAACCATTATTACTCTGAAAAATAAACGGGTTATATAAAATAGTAAAGCATATAAATACCTGTCATTCTACCAGTTTTCAAGAGATTTAATGAACATTTGACATAGCTATGACTGAAACCGAATTACATTTCCTAGAGACTCAGGTAAAATATGGATTTGGTTATATCTTTCTCAATTCTTAACCGTTTTTGATGAAACAAAAACCCAATAAAAGGCAATAAATGTGGTTACAAGGCTATGTAACGCACGTGACCGTTTAACCAGTTGCAACCGATTAAAACCGGTCTTTGAACGGTTTTAAAAGATTTTCGAAATGAGGCAACCAGCAACTGGACCAACCCCAAATTGGGGCAACTGCAACCGAAAAAAAGACCGGTCCATGGTCCAGTTCAGTTCAGTCCACTGGTTTTTTGTGGTCCTATGGACTGAACCTTCAAACACTAATGAATATTGTGGATGATAATTCTAGCCATCCTTGGACACTTTGTCTTAAAGTAAAATCCGATGTGTTATCTACCCTTCAGTCATGGGTGCGTCGAGCTGAGTTAGAGAGTGGCAAACGTATTGGTATCATCCATATAGACAGTGGGGAACTCAAGTTGGATGCAATGAACGCTTGGTGTAATGTTAATGGCTACACATTACAGATTACTGCACCATATACCTCTGCCCATAACAGACACGTTGAGCACATGCATCTCACAATCATGAACAGGATGCGCGCTATGTGTGAGTCAACACCAAGCATTTCACCCAACAGATGGGATGAATTCACCATGACAGCCAGGTACCTATCTGCTCGTACCCTGCCACGTACCCTTGGCAAAACACCTTTTGAGGCCTGGCATGGGAAGAAACCTGATCTTTCTCACTTGCGTGAGATCGGTTCCTGAGCTTTCACCCTTGTCCTCCAACACAACCCAAAAATATATGAACGATCATTTGAGTGTGTCCTCGTGGGCTACTCCCCCAATTCCAAAGCATACCGTCTTTACCACCCTTCAACTCACCATCTCTTCGAATCTTTCCACGTCAAATTTATTGAAAGAAAGGACAATGTATCCCATCCCCTTTACCCTGGATGTGTCATCGATCTCCCTGTGACTGATGAAGCCATCACTACTGCCCCTACTACCCTTCCTATTCCATCTCCTTCTTCTTCTTCCCCTAGTGGTTTTTCACCCAAGCTTACCTCTGTCCAAGATGAGGAGGAGTCTGTTATCAACACTTCTGGTCCAGTTTGGAGGTCTTTATTGTCCTCCACTGATTCCTGCCAGAATCCTGCGGAATCCGGGGAATTCCTGGAATTCCAGAGGAATCAAATTTGGCAGAGGGCCCTGCCAAAGTGATCAAACAATTCTGCCGAATTTTGAATGGAATTCAAATTCCGCTGGAATGATTCTGGTGATCACCCAGAACGAGGCCGGAACGGAATTCCTGATGCCCAAATCAACAAACAACACCATCTCTTTCAACCACCACCATCACCGATGCCTACACACCACGTCGCCAACGTCCACCACCACGCACACCAGCCACGATGAGACAACGACGACAGCCACGATATGGGAGACGACGCCTTGACGCCACATCAACAACCCCAGTAAACGAGTGCAGCAACACGTTGCCACGTCGCTATCAGCAACGTGGCAACCAGACGATGAACGACGATTTCGTCGTTCGTCGTCCTAGGTGAGCACCCCCCCCAAACTCGGGGGATCCTCAGAGTCGACCGC